GAGTTGAGAAATTTCTTCACAAGAGAACTGTTCCAATTCGTCAATTCCCATAAAGTTGTCGACTTTACTTGTGACTACTCTGTTGTTATTCTGATCTCCTAATAACTAACGGATTAAGTTACCGTTTCATGCACCATGCTTACACCGCAATTTAGGCCAGCCTTATATCACAGGTTTCTGGGTGTTTCTGGTTTTCGATAGGTACCATTTTTATCATATACTCCTCCTACTGCAGCAACATGGTTTGGATTCTTGGGTTTAGCATCCTAAGGAACGAAACAATTTTTTTTAAAATTTAGCACTAACTTTTTCTCCTTGGCAGAAACCTTATTCATACAGGATTTTTATAGCCTTTAGGTGGATATTGAGTGAAGAATATCAAGATTATTAGGCAGTGGCGTAGCAAGGTTGGACGGGGCCCCGGTGCAAATAAATTGCAGAGGCCCCCCCAGTAAATAATTACAATTTTTAATTTGCTAAAGGAACGTTCAACAGTAGCAACTGGCATATGCAATGTGAAAAATAACAAAACTGCCTATACACTTGAGATAAGTCACTTTCTAATATTCCAAATTTTTCAAGTTTTTTGAAGTTCTATAATTCAAAATATTGCCTGACGCTCATAGAGTCGTTTATATGGTCCTTGGCTTTAGTAATAAGGTGAACATATTGAGGTATTAGAGAATGACTAATTCAGAGTATTTGGTAGAAATTTTTTTACATTTTTCAAGGATTGTCGATTCAGAAGAAGTAAGAATGTTGTAAAAAGTTAAAATGATCTTTAACATATTCCATACCAACAAATCTGTGTAATAATTGACCAACTACCTACTTCGTTAATACACGATAATAAATAGTCACTTTAAATTTAGTTTCAGAGCTCTCAAATCTGTGGTCGTTCGCGAGTTCATCGAAATACTTTTTATGTCGGACTTCCTTTTTTTCTGGAAACACTGGATTAATAATTCCACTTTCTTGCTAATTCCACTGCTACTGCTTCACCTTCAATTTCTTCGTATGAATCTCTTAGCTTTAATACATTATTTCGAAGTTCTTTTAAAACTTTTGCCCCTGTGAGTTTTCGCTAGTAGGTATATTTTTGGTACAAATTTTTGCGCGTGGCTTCGGGGCCCCTTTACCACCGGGGCCCCGGGGCGCCGCACCGAATTGCCCTACGATAGCTACGCCACTGTTATTAGGTCAAAATATTGAAACAAAATTTTGGAATACCCAATAGGTATCAGCTTCATTGGGCTGGTAATGTTGTGTTAATATGTATTATGTATGCCCATTGCTAAAAAATGGCCAACGCGGTAGGGCAATTTAAACCATACAAAGATGTCCTTAAAGCAAACATGAAAGCGTAGATCGACGTGGGTGACTGTGAGGCTACGTCTCAGAATAGGCCCTTATGGCGACAAAGTATCGATCAAGGCTTGGAGTATTTCGAAAGACAATGGCGAAGGGATGCAGAGGACAAACCGAATCGTAGAAAAAAAAACAAGAACGTCTGATAAGAGCTGGTTTACAACAGCGACCGGCTGCTGCTGATTGGGTGTGCAGTCAATTCGGAAATTGTGAAACAAGATAAGCTTAGCCATCAAAGAACCCACAGATGATGCTGGATGCTGCCAAGATTGTTGTAATACTCATTAGCGAGTGAATGCCTATGATGATGGGGTCCAGGTTTACTTGGATCTAATGCAGGAGAAGCAAATGAAATCCTCTTGAGATCAATTGCACTCAAAGATTCAACTCCACAAGATCTTTCATATCTACCTATTGCATTTCTAACCATCACCCTTGCAATTGACTAAAAGAAACAATAAGTATAAACAGACATTTATTATTTATTAAGGAAATATTCTAATTGTGTAGGTATTAATGGATATTAACGAAGTACAATAAAAACAAATATTTAATTTCTTTTTTTGGGCAAGCCAGCAAAGTATAGGTACCTATCTCGACTTTTAATGGCGTTTTGGAAACCTGGACTTTCCTTATAACTTCATAGGAATCCTAAACTGTCCAACTTGTATAGTTTCAGAAATCTACCTATCTATGCCTGAAATGGGTTGCTATAGTAAGGAAAAGGACCCCGCAATATTTAAATGGAAATTGGTTACCCGTGATATTTGGATGAAATTTAAAAATATGTTATTGGGGATGCCGTAAGCAACATTTTTCGCCATGGGCACAATCCTGTATATATGACAGGTGAGGCGTGGTTAGCTGTCAAATATTGGAATCTTATATCCAAAAGCAGAGTAACTATGGCAGACTTTGATGAACAAAAAATCTATTTCTACTAAGTCGACCAAGTTAAGTCGAAAAATGTCAACTATTTTGACACCTGTCAAAACCCTGCCAAACGGCAGCATTCATCTTTTCCAGTTTTCAATATTTTATGATGTCATTTGACATTTTTAACTTGTATGTAAATTCTGAATTCAAAAATTGAAAAAAAAAAAATGACAGAACTGTCATAATGACATCATTGTGGATTTAATTTGTAAGTGTCAAAATGTTTGAGTACTTCAATGATTTCATTATAGTACTGAGTATTATAATGATTCCATTAAAGTACTCAAAAAAAATCGCCAGTATATAAATCCATTATACTAAAACTATGTACTTTAAAATGAAAATTGACATCTCTGTCAAAATCTGAAACCTGCGTATAATGTTTTTTCATGCGTTATCATAAATAAGCCAAACATAAATTGAGAAAGAACGAGATTTGATTTTTTTTAATCAAAGCTATTGACAGATTCTGACAGCTGTCAAAATGTGACGTTCATGAACTTTGATCAATGTTTTATCACCAATAAACTACCTTAAAACGAGATAGAACCAGATTAGAGTATTTTTTTCTACTAAAACAAATGACAGGTTTTGACAATTCTGTCTTTTTTTTTTCAATTTTTGAATTCAGAAGTTACATACAAACTAAAAATGTCAGATGACGTCATAAAATATTGAAAACTGGAAAAGATGAGTGCTGCCGTTTGGCAGGGTTTTGACAGTTGTCAAAATGGTTGACATTTTTCGACTTAACTTGGTCGACTTAGTAGAAATAGATTTTTTGTTTATCAAAATCTGCCATAGTTACTCTGCTTCTGGATATAAGATTCCAATATTTGACAGCTAACCACGCCTCACCTGTCATGTATACAGGGTTGTGCCCATGGTAAAAAATGTTGCTTACGGCATTCCCAATAACATATTTAAATTTCATCCAAATATCACGGGTAACCAAGTTGCTAAAAACTGAAAAAAAAAAAAATGCCAATATTCTACAAGATCCAATAGTGCAAAATTTTTGTAAATCGCTTCCTTCTGAAATTAAAATTAAAAAATGGGTTTGTTTTCCAATTATAAAGTAGTCAATACCTACATCAGTTATTTTAAATTAATGGATAGCGGAGATATGGCCAATTTTTATTTTGAGAAAAACTCTTTTTTTTCGTAAATGCTTTCGCAATTGTTTAATTTCTTCTTCAGTTACAAAAGTAAATGTAAATTCTGTCAGCATTTTTGGACCAAATGAACACAAATTATTTAATGTATAGAGATATAGATTTAAATACATCTATATCTCACTCAACTTTTGTAATTGAAGAAGCAATTAAACAATTGCGAAAGCTTTTATAAAAAGAGTTTTTCTCAAAATAAAAATTGGCCGTATCCCCGCTATCCATTAATTTATTATCCTAAATCGAGCCACGAAATTTCCTGATCCAGTAATTTCAGGTAGATAGATCAATTACCCCATCTTCCCAGAAATTTCAAGTTAATGGGTTTTTCCCAAAAAACTGATAAGCAAAATGTATTATTGTCTTAGTATTGGAAAGTCTTATTTTTCAGTCTATTGAAGCAGCCCTGTATTGTCATTATCCGTTTTCACATAGGTGACATAGGGTTCTTAGCTAAGGACAGGGGATATGATGATCATGAAAAGAAGGCCGTTCGAACATATTGTCAGATATACCCTTGCATGAATCCTATCCGTATAGGATGCATGCCTCTTCCAATCAAGGGTATGTAGAGTCACGCACGTTACTGCTGTTTTAGGGTCGCCAGGTTTTATTGTCTTAGATAAGGATGTATCTAGAAGATCCGACACAAACGATAAAATTCTCTAATTCCATATCAAGGGCAATAAAAGTTACTACTGGCGTTCCCTAGGGCCCGTGTTCTCGTAACCGGGAAACAGAGTTCTCAAGAGAACGATCGCTCTATCTTAGTCGCCCATAATACTGACAAAGACAGAGCAATCGTTCTCCTGAGAACGCTGTTCCCCGGTTACGAGAATACGGGCCCTGGGCTTCTACCTTGGTCCGGTGATGTTCTTTTGTTTGCAAATGAGTTATGTAATACTGTAACTTGCTCACGACGTAAAGATCTTTCTGACGAACAATTCCACAGATGACTGCTGCCTACTCCAGGATTGTATAAATAGTCTTACTCCGTGCAGAAATAACACCATGTCTAAATAAATCAAAGTGCCAGGTAATACCCAATTCATCATCATCAGTCGACAACGAGTATTATAAGTATCTTGACAAAATCATTATCTGTGTTCTCTAATGGCTAAATAAGCCTATTCTGATCCCACAATTTTTCCCAAATTTATTCCACTCTCAGTCGTTTTTGTGGACGAGGACTTATTAGACGTTCTCCTTTTCTTAGATTCTGTTTCTCTTCCGCATCACATTGTTGTTCGATATCCTGCGAGCCTTGATGGTTACTGCGTCACCCTGCGTAGCCTCCCAGTCACCAATCAGATATGCTTTCACGTTTGTCTTAAGGACATGTTTGTAACGTTTAAATTGCATTTCCTGGTTGCTTAGGCCATACTCCGGTTGGCTACATAACTAAACTACATACATAATTAAGATTTCGGTAGAATAATTTTTTCCCTGGAAAATGTCACAAACTTCAGCAGTCATGTATAACCATGTGTCACTTTCTAATATAGCTTATTTCTTACTTTTTAGATTGCTGTTGATGAGAATGAAACAATAAACTTCGATAAAACAACTGCTAATTGGGTAACGTTTAATCAAAGTCTATCCAGTACTTTATCGAAATCCATAAGCCAAACTGACACTGATAACAAGGCCTCAGCTCAAACTAGACACTTCAAAACACCAATTTTAGATATTGCCAAGAAATATGGTGCAACTGGCTATTTATTTATAAGGGACCTACTAAACCTGCAGCCAAACAAACTGACCAATACATTTCTATATAATAGTCGACCAATAAAAAGAATAGTCTTATGTGCAAGAATTACTTCAGTTCAAATGAAAACTGATTATCATTACCGATTAATTGTTGATGATGGAACATCTGCTATACTCTGCATTGTGAAACAACAAGGAGGTGAACAAAATAATTCAGCAGATAAAGAAGAAATTGAAGTGAATCCAACATTAACCAATTCCAACACAAAAAGTCTTATCAAGCAAATGGAGTTACATGAGAAAAAGTTACGTAACCAAACATTAACCACCTTCGACGATAAAAGTCTTGGTGTTCCAGTTATGATTATAGGATTCCTGAATGAATTTGATGGAAAAAATTATATATTTGCCTTAAATATCAGAAGAGTAACAGAAGAATGTTTTATAAATTATCTGAATCATGTCATTGAAATTTATGAACAGAAATTACATTTCATGTTTCAATAATTGTTGTTTTTATTTTTTGGAATAGGACATGTTTGTTTTTTGCAGATAAGCGAGCTTTGACAGTTTGACATCAATATTTTGTGATCCACGCAGTCATAAGCATGGGAAAGATTAGAGAATATCATAGCTCTAGCCTTCTTTGTGTCTAGCTGTTCCTAAATATCGAGGTAAATATTATACATACAGACAAGACCAGACTACTAGACACATAGGCTTCAAGATGAGGCAAATGGCAACCTGGGAGTGGAAACGGCTCGGAACGAAAGTTCTTTGGACCTTGATGCCAACATGGCACCTATTTTGTGTAAATCCATCATTCCACAATACTAGTATCAATGCCATTTTCGATGAGGATTTTCCATTTAAAAAGAGAACATTCTCAATTTATTTTTCGTAAAATTCATAAATAAATAATACAACATTGTTTTCTTGAAGAGTGAGCATAATAAAGGTTTCGGGTGTTCCTAGAACTTTGACTTGTAGATATGTGAATGTTACTTAAATATGCATTGTTTGACATATTCAGGGGCGTAGTCACCGGTGTTCCGCGTGTTCCTTGGAACACGGGCCCGATACCTCAAGGGGCCCGGTTCTGGATGTCAATATTATTAAAGTCTGTTTTTTTTTTAAAGATAATTCCCCAAGTCAAAAATTTAGTAACTATGTTGGCAACACAAGCCTTTTCTACATAAAAAATTTGAAAGCATTGACAATTTTTCATTGTATTGCCAACATAATGCCATTTTGACTATTATATTTAAAAAAAAAACACACTTTAGGTCTGTTTCTGCAGAAATCACAAACCTGTCAGAGCGAATTTCATTGGTGGAAAACAGTCAGAAACAGTCGGAAAACTAGTTTCAACCAATGAAATTCACTCTGAGAGGTTTGTGATTTCTGCAGAAACAGACCTATTTTTTCCTAGTAAGAAAAAAAAAATCCTTTTCACACATTTGACGCTAATTTATATAAAAATAAAAAATATCTATACCTACGTTACAGTAGGTAAAGTCGTCATTTCTTACATTCTTATGTACACTTGATGATTTCTTTTATGAAAACTTTTCGATTTTACCGCTTGTCGCGTATCGTATATCTTCAAAATTCATTAGTACGGCCGAACCACTCCATACTATGCCAGAATTGCCAAGTATGCCAACTCAAGATCCTGCAATCCCTGCGTTGTGGTTTGTCGTGCTGCCTTCTAATTAGGTGAGTTAAGCCTAGTACTCATAATAGCGAAATTGCTCTTTTTTGACATTGCTTCGACAATTTGACGTTTTATGCGTGAATCAAACGTCAAATTTTCGAAGCAATGTCAAAAAGAGCGAAATTCGCAATTATGAGTACTAGGAGCTTTAACGATTGAGAAACCGGCCCTTCGGTTTCTCAATCGCGAGTCAGCTCCGGTTTGGTTTTAACTCCAGGGTAAGCGTGAGAAGTTGCAATGTTCACCCTGTAGTTATGCCTACAGTGACTCTATTACCCACAGTGGCGACAATTGCTGTCTTATTTTTGATTGGTTCTAAAATCCCATATATTCATATTGAAAACGCAGCCATCTTGTTCCCACCCTTTGCTTATTTCAAATATGATTATATGGGATTTTAGGTGAACATCCATTATAAAACATGGAAAACAACATTTTTGATGGACCCAATTAAAAGTCATCAAATACGTCGATTTCAATTTTTTATGATAGATATCCATTCAAATTAAAATTTAAAAGTAACAAGAAATTGGGAACAAAATGGCGGCGGGACCTCTAATGCCGCCACTGTATGTAAAGGTTTATTTAGCCACTTTAGTTATGTCTAACCCAGGGGTGACTTGCTATTGAGAAACCGGCCCTTAGGGTATTTCTGGCATGACATTGCACATGAAATAGGCCTAGAATTTTCCGCAGAATCCAAAAATGTCATGATATACAGAATTCACGATTTAAAAAAATAAAGCTGATAACAGTACGATACAGCTGTTCTTTCTTGGAGCCACCTGTATAAAAAAATTAGTGTGAAAAAATCTCAAGCAAAAAAACAAAATCGACGTGTCCGACCGGTTTTTCTAAAACGCCTTCATTTATTTTATATTGAATATGTTTCATACTTTCGTTCACCCTGTATTTTAAAAAAAATATATATAAGTACCTATATATGTATATATTTCTTTGATTTTTCAATGGGCTTGGTTACAAATTAATTAAAACAATTGTTTATTGCCATGGTGAATTTGGCAGTTTCCTGAATAATTTAGTTCATTAATTGCGTTTGTCAATTGTCAGAACCAAGTGCAATTGTAAATACATATGAACAAAAACCTATTATTTCAAAACCGCCAAGCTCGGCAAAGCAAAATTAAGCATTTTTTTTGTTCCTTGACAACTTGATTCAAAATTTTAATGTGTTTTTTTCAAATTTTTGACCCCCTTTTTTGAATTTCCTCCACCGTTTGGTAATTTTTTCCAATTTTATACTTTTGGGATTAAATTTTCAATCATCTCCTGTATCTGCCAGTTCTCTGAAGTGGGCTTTTCTTTACAGCTAATCCAGCGACCTCATCTAAAATTTATCAAATGATGATGTTTTAAGAGCACTTATTCTGAGCATACTTGCCGCTGATGATGGAACTTTCTAGTTCCGAAACATGTAGGGCTCTATAAAATAATTAAAGTTTATTTGTGGAGGAAGACTTGGTGTTTTTCTTTGAAAATCAAAATTTTCCGTTTTCATCAAGCTCACCGCAGATTTAAAATTATATTGAAAGATCAAATAAGTTGCAGGTCGAAAGTCGAAAATGTATTTGGAATGTGATTTTCTTTGGAACTAAGCAAAAAATAATATACCAGGTGACCCATTCAAATTAGGAAGTGAAGGTCATCTCCCGCTAGTGACAATTGAATATATCAACCCATGCATATTTGTGTGACACACCTAAAAAAAATTTCATATCCTACACATACAGAGTTTTTCCATAGCGAACATTATGGTTGACACTGGATAAACTATCATAAATTAACAATAGGAATTACTTAATATAAGTTATAAACAAATCCTTGTTCTTGGTTCTGCTAGGAAGACTTCGGGGCTTCCAGTACCACCAATTGTACAGCACTGACTGAAAATAAATGAAATAAAAATAAACACGTCCTCTATTTAGCATTGTTTGTTTCAATAAGTTATCAGAATCCATTATGTCCTTCGAATTTAGCTTCTGATTCTGGTTGGAACAAAAATTATTATTTACTTACACACATGGAAAGTTTTTATCAATATTGCCAGGTTTTTGCATTTACTTCTACACTCTGGAGTGGGTTGTAAGCTTTCCTGCCACCAAAGTATTGTTTTAATTGTATGATGAATAAATGGATTAGATAGGTAGGTATTAATAAATTACTTCTGCATGCTTCTACTAAAATTACTAGGTACTAAAAGTTGGTTACTTCCAGAGTCAATTTTTTTGAAGCTCTGGCTATTCCCAATGCAGTCAACTTCTTTTTTGCATTGATGTTACCTCAGGAACAGCCATATAACGAATGTTCTATCAGGAGCACAAATATCCTATATTTAAAATGTTTCATCGAATTTTATGTAAGCTTCTGTAATCCTAATACGAATTCGAGTTTTTGACTCACATCTACGTCAGCCGTCGCACCACAAACAAGACCTTGTATATTCGCAAAAAACATGCACGCCAAATTGGTTGTGTATGCTGACCTAAGTCGTCGAAAGTCGTATTCGCATTAGGAATGCAGAAGCTTGTAGAACGTCGACGAGAATTATACAAAATCATACATCATGCATTTAAAAATATGCGGGATTACTTATCTCTAAAGTTCATTCCACGAAACAAGATGAAAGTGAAATAAACAAACTTTGACAGGTAAGTCTAATTTTATTGGCTAGAAAAGGATTATACTCCGCCCTAGGCAGGACCGTCTTAGGTTGTTTCGTATTTCTCTTCTCTGAATATATTTCCGAACGAATTCTTTAGCGGAATCTGTTGAACTTGACATTGTTTTAATCTAAATTGCTCACTAATTAACAATAATTCACCAAACACTATTTAAATAATTGTAAAATACTAGGAAATACGAATACGACATTAAACTTATTGACTCATATGACAACCTGACAATAATAAATGTCATTATAGTTGTAATTCATATTTTTGCAGTCCTTCTCTAAATTTTTAAGCTCCGCCTGTTTGTTTACCTCTACTATCTCGTTTCGTGGAATGAACTTTAGTATTATTTTGTGCTCCTGTCATTTTTAGGTGTCAAACACCTAGTTGTTTTTTGACACCTAAAAATGATGAAACACATTGTTCTTATTCCTAAATTCAGTGGTGCGTTTCTGAGAATTAACCAAAATGTCCCTTTTTCTTTTTCAGTACCTATACCTAACTCGAACAAAAAAATAAAATTTCAGATTTTTAGAAAACTACTTTTTTTTTTGTAGGCAATTGAGTTTCCAATCAATGGTTTTTATTTTTAATACTTATAGAATTATCGAGAAGCAAAACTAAAAATTTACAAAAAATCACTTTTTTGTGGCCATTCAAGGTATTACATAGATAGATATGTACATACCTTACAGGCCTAAGTGTTCTGAGAAAAGAGAAGTCTAGCAAAAAAAAACTTATTTTTCGATATTATAAATGAAATTATTGCATTCATGAAGTACGAGCATAAATGAAAATGAATACGGATAATAAACTTAATCTGTCTCTTGTATACACGAGCAAGCATGTTCCTAGTAGAGATCTTATATTGATTCGATAATTGGAGGACCATGCAATATTTAAATGGAATCCGATTTCACTGATATTTGGATTAATTAATTATGGTATTGGAGATGCCGCAATACAGGGTGTCCCACTAAGGTCGGCCAGGTACGATATTATGGAGACCATAGACCTTA